AGTGGGGTGTTTTTGATCCACACGATAAGCCGTAAGCAAGTACGTCAAGGGCTGCTTCTCACTGGTTCTGCCTGGCTGTGTAGACTGTCAGCAGCTGGGTCTCTCCCGGTGCGGAATATGCCTCCCGAGCACTGCCACTTGCCTGCCTCACTGCTCACTCCTGAGCTGGTCTGACCTGAAGGGCTCAGGCTCTCTCCGGGTCAGGGTCTGGCAACTCCTCGCTGCTTCTGAACCGTCTCTCCTTCCCCGTGCCACTCAGTCCTGTTCCTCAACTCTGCCTTTGATGTTCAGGGCTCCCAGATTGCCATATATAATGAAATCACTTGGTTATTTTTTTGGTCTTTGTTGTAAGAGGTACCACCAGAAGTGTCTGACTACTCCACCATCTTGGCCCTGCTTGCCTCTGAAGTTTTATTGGGAAACTGCTGCACCATTGACAGTATGTGCTGTTGCAAGGCAGGGACCTTTATGACTTGTTTGAAACTGTAGAAATGTGTGTGCGCTGAAAATTACTGTTTTTACAGAGTATTGTATGAGGTGTCTGAATTTTTGGTAGGAAAAATAGAAATTTTGAAAATTTTTATTTGTTACACATATGTACCAATAGACCCCAGTGGGGACTCTGGAGTACAATTAGTGAAATTTCATATGTACCACTAAACACTTAGGGTAGACTTGTGGGAAGGGGCAAGAAAAAAAAATCCATACTACCTACCAAAAATTCAGACCTACCCAATGATTCAGCATACTTCTGTTAATGAAAACACATGGTATCAACAAAAAGTTCAAAGGGGAAAATAATTGGTTCATGAAAGGGTTAACTTTGTTTATGTTGCCATTTGTTATGCAGAGATTTTAGATTTTAAGTCAAATTTGTCAAGATTTCATGTGCTTTTTGTATCTTGTATAAGAAATCTTTTTCTATCCCTATTACAAGGAAGATTCATTAACAACCTGTGATGTGCAGATGACACAACCTTGCTTGCTGAGAGCAAAGAGGACTTGAAGAACTTACTGATGAAGATTAAAGACTACAGCCTTCTGTATGGACTGCACCTCAACATAAAGAAAACAAAAACGCTCACAGCCGTACCAATAGGCGACATCATGATAAACGGAGAAAAGTTTGATGTTGTCAAGGATTTCATTTTACTTGGATCCACAATCAACGCCCATAGAAGCAACAGCCAAGAAATCAAATGATGCATTGCATTGGCCAAACTGGCTACAAAAGAGCTCTTTAGAGTGTTACAAAGCAAAGATGTCATCTTGAGGATTAAGGTGCACGTGACCCAACCCATGGTATTCTCAATCGCCTCATGTGCATGTGAAAGCTTGACATGGAGTTAGGAAGAACGAAGAACAAGAGATGTGTTTGAATTATAGTGTTGGCAAAGAATATTGAATATGCCATGGACTGCCAGAAGAACGAACAAATCTATCTTGGAAGAAGTACAACGAGAATGCTCCTTAGAAGCAATGATAGCGAGACTACGTCTAACATACTTTGGACATGTTATCAGGAGGGACAGCATAGAGGACATCATGCTTGGTAAAATAGAGGGTCAGTGAAAAAGAGGAAGACCCTCAACAAGATGGATTGACATGGTGGCTGCAACAATGGGCTCAAACATAGCAAGGATTGTGAGGATGGCACATTTTTATTGTTGTACCTAGGATCGCTATGAGTTGGAACCGACTCGACGGCACCTAACTGTAGCAACATCACAAGGTCATAAAAACTGTTGCCAATACTTTCTTTTGAAAATTTTTCCTTTTCACATTTGGGTCTTTATTCTACTTGGAATCTTTTTTTAAATGGTGTAAGGTAAGGATCTACTTTTATTTTTGCCATATGCATAACAATTGGTCTGGTATCAGTTACTGAATAGTCCATCTGTTCCCCCACTGATTTGTAGTGCCGTCTTAACCATATATCAAATTTTTATATACTGTACTTTTATGCAAATGAAGTGCACCTTCTTCATTTGTTTGCCAACTATGCCCTGCCCCCACAAGGTATTTTCATAAGCACTGCTATGCCATTTTTTTTACACCTTACTGTAAAAAAATTAACATCACATGCAAACAGTGTTGAAGGCACACAGTATTTGCGTAAAAATACATTATATGTTTCATTAGTCTATTTGTTTATTCCCAAATTAGTCACTTAGTTTTACAAGTTTCCTTATTTGGTAGAGCAATACCAAATTGCTCTTCTTCGATATTTTTATGAATTATCATGGCCCTTTCCTCTTCCACATAAAGTGATCCCCATTATTCGTAGATTCCATCTCTGTGAATTTACCTACTCTCTAAAATTTATTTGTAACCCCAAAATTGATAGTCGTGGCACTTTCAGTCATTTATGGGCATGTGTAGAGCGGCGAAAAATTTGAATTGCCTGATGCTCATGTTCCCAGCTGAGGTCGATCAAAGCCTTCGTTTCAGTTCTCATACTGTAAATAGTCCTTTCCACGGTCTATTTAGTGCAATGTTTTTCTCATTTGTGTTTTTTGTTGGTGATTTCACTGTTTAAAATTGCCTCCATGTGTAAAGGGCTGTCTAGTGTTCTGAAGCACAAGAAAGCTATGATGTGTCATACATCACACAATACCTATTTGATATGCTTCATGCAGGCATGAGTTATACTGCTGTTGGATGTGAGTTCAATGATAATGGATCAAGAAAATGTATTAAATAAGGTGTTTTAAAACAGAAACACACATAAAACAAGGTTACGTATTGGTAAGTTGACAAAAATGTTGTGACCAGAGGCTTGCAGGAAGCTAACCCTGTATCTCCCCAAGGAACAATGATGGTTCAGTTTTTGTTAATTCAGTGTTTGCAGCAACTTTATAGAACATGATATTGCAAATAATGAGAATTGAATGTAAATGCTGGAATGAATTTGCAAGGTTAGCAAAATTATTTTGAGATTTTTGATTGGAATTGGAGTCAATGTATAGATTTAGGGAGAACTAACGTACTTGTAATATTGTATCTTTCAATTCATTAAAAATATCTCATTACGTTGTAAAAAAAGTCCTTAAAAAATGCTTTGTAATGTTCTCTATAGAAATATTGCTTTTAATTAAAAAATTTATTACAGCTAGCTATTGAGGGTGAAGTATTTTTTTATCTAGTGCATTTTTTGACTGGTGCATAGGAGTGCTACATTTGTATATTGCTCTTAGATCCAGAATATTAGTTCAAAACTGTTTGCCTCTTGGAGTTGTACACGGGCAATCACATTATCTGCAAATAAGGCCAGTTTCGTCTTCCTCTACAACTCTCACACCTCAGACCTACTTTTCCCTCTTCTCTGTTTTGCATATTTAATATTATGGAATGATTTTTCTTTATCTCCTATTAATATAGCTTTTCCCTTTAATCAATCTATAAGGTATATAACAACAAATTTCCAGATGCTTAACTATCGTTACAATTCTGGGATAAACCCTACTAGTTCATTTTTTGTTTTTGAATACCAGCTGAATTGTATTATCTTATGATTTTTGGCAACTATGTTCTTGAGTAAAATTGATCTACAATTTCCATATAGAGTATCCTTGGCCAGTATGAGATCAAGTTTATTCCAGAGGTGTAAATTGTGTTGGATACTTTCCTTTTTTTTTCCCTAAACGTTTGTATAAAACAGAGATTATGCATTCCTTGAAGGTTTGGTAAAACTTACTTGGGTCTGATGTCTTTTGTGGGCAGACTTATGATTATTAATTTCCTTAGTGGTTATTGATTTATACTGGCTGTCTAGTCTTCTTGAATCAACTTTAATAATTTATATTTCTCTAAAAAAAATTCATCTATGTTCTCAAATACTTGGTTATAAAGTTGCCCATCGTATGTTTTTGTGTAACTTTCAAATCTTTTATCTGTAGTTGTATACTTTTTCATCTTAACCCCAATATACCAAGACAAATAGTCATCATTTTCCATCTGGGCCCAACGGACCCTTAAAAAAAAAAATTGTCATTTAATGAAAATGTAAAGAATAAAGAGATAGAAACAATTTTATTAGAAATTTTAATAAGAATGTAAGCATAGGAAACCCAAATTTTTATTCCACATCTTCCTGGTTTTGAAGGTACAGAATATCTGAGATGGATAATGTTCCTTGAAAGCAACTACATACTCATCAGCTATCATGAACCTAGAACATATTCACTTTGCAAATCTTGATTTCAGACTTCAAATGTATCTCTAATGGGTTCTAGTTTATCATTACTTCTGGTTCTTCTTGCCCTTGCATCATCAAAATGCAGTATGTTTAAAAACTTTTTTAAACCTTTTATTTTTGTTGGAGAGAGGACGGACATTTTTTTAGGTTCGTAATTGCAAAACATTTTCACTTTTAGATTTGTAAATACCAATTAGAATGATCAATCCGATTTTTTGTTTCTACGTCATTCATTTCCTTCCCATCATCTCTGAATCTGCCTTTGCATTTATCTACTTACAAACTCTGTCGAGTAAATTCTGATGTACAAACATTATAAGAGATATTTTTGTCACAAAGTATTTCGTGATGAAGTCGTTCCTTTAGATGACTAACTGGATGAAAGTACCATGTTTCCTTTATGTCCTTAGAAATATTATTGTTCACTTATTGATTCCTGAGTTTGAGAAAATTCTTCTAGAATACTGTCATCTGAAAATTCATAGGGATTTTGCTGCTAAGATCAACTTTACCATCATTTTTAGATTCTTGAGTGCTGCCTTTTGCATTCATCTTCTGATTTGTCTAATAATCATGAAAAAACAAACAACAACAAACAACAATAAACAACAAACCTATGGCCATCAAGTCCATTCCGATTCATAGTAACCCTATAGGATAGAGTAGAACTGCCCCATAGGGTTTCCAAGGAGTGGCTGGTGGATTTAAACTGCAGACCTTTTGGTTAACAGCCGAGTTCTTAACCACTGAGCCACCAGGGCTCCAATAATCATGAAACATCTGTCAATTTTCTTCTTTTTGCCGTTATGGAAGAAAAATGCTGAATTCTCAACTGTGCCCAATGAAAACTTAAAAAACAATTATATAGTGTCTCTAGATTTCTTTTAGGAGCCCTGGTGGCGCAATGGTTAAGTGCTCAACTGCTAACTGAAAGATTGGTGGTTCAAATCCACCCAGCAGTTCTGTGGGAGAAAGACCTGGCAATCGGCTCCCATAAAGATTACAGCCTAGAAAACCTCATGGGGCAGTTCTACTCTGTCACATGGGGTCATTATGAGTCGAAATCAACCTGATGGCATCTAACAACAGATTTCTTGAAAAGTAATGCAGTTCTTGGGGCAATACGATAAAAAAAAACCTGAAGGATGATGTAATGATGATTTATTTCACTACTGCATTACCTTTTTAGGTGATTTCATCCATTCTTTTCTATTTTTTTTTTTTACTTACTATAGTTGCAAATAACTGTTGAAATCATTCCTAGAATTATTAAGTTGCAAAATATTTCAAGATACAGAAAAAAATAAGATGTCTTAAAATCCCATTATCTCATATTTACAAAAGGGGCCAATGGACTTATATGGTAACTGCTAGAGAGAATGTTTTATTATATTTTTTAAAGTAAAATTTTTCTTAGTTTTTTGGAAACACGTCTAAGAAAAGTCGTTAAGAAGTGGATTGTCACAAACATAAGGGCTCAAAAAGGAAACAAAACCTGATGTAATACCAAAGGTTAAAATTGTTTTTTTTTTCTTTTTGTTCCCTTCATCGATCTTTTATATTTGTCTCTTTTATTCGAAGAACCAGTTCTTGCTTTTGTTGCCATTCTCTATAGTTTCTGTTTCACTGATTTATTCTTACATTTTTTGACAGGGGGGGGGTTTGGTTTTTAAATTTACTGATATTGTGGTAAAAAAAATATGATCTGCATAACAATCAATTCTTTGAAATTTGTAGACTCCTTTTTGACTTAGAAAATCTATAAAAATTTTATTACACACTGTATGTACTTGAAAATATACATACATATACATACATATGTAGATGTATATATGTATAAATAATATATACACACACGAGTTTGAATCTTTTTATAACTATTTTTCATGTCTCTTGTAAACCAGCAAACAGATATATTTAATTTCTCTAATCCAATCTCATGTCTTTTAATCGGAAATTCTACTTTATTTGGACCTACTGCTGCCATTTTTAGCTTTACTTTTTTCCTTCCTTCTCTGATTTTTCTTGGATTTATAGTTTACTATATTCCCTGTTCTCCTCTCTCTGTTTTGGGATCTTTACAATTTGGTCACACAGTCTCTAAAATAATTTGGAAAATTAATATATCCTTTTATACATTTGTAAGTGGATAAAAATTTTTGCATCGTAAGTTTAAAATTTGGCAAAGGAAGTCATTTCTGGAATATTGTAAATATTGATTTTAAGGTAAAAACTATTACATCATTATTTTAAATGCGTTCAATAAAATCTAAATACTACCACAATTTGACATTCTCCATCCTCCCTTTAAAATATGAACAGTTCTTCTTTAATAAGAAATTTTACATTATTTTTTAGCCCCCTCATACTTCCATTACACCTCATGTAATTTTATCTCAGTGTAATATATTTTAATGTTTGAAAGTCTTTTACTGATACTCTATCATGTATGTTTCTCAAAATGTATTAAAACTATTTTTATTGAAATACAAATTTTTTATAAATTAAAAAGGATTTCCTGTGAATATATATCTCCAAGTATTTAAAAATCTGTCATGTGAACTATTATTATTCAAATGATGAAAACAACATAAATATATTTTAATAAGTAACTATTAAAGATACAAAGTAAAATTTGGAAACGTATCTCTTAGTGAGCTGGAAGGTGCTGTATTTTTCTATACCTACTGATGATTTTATTATTGTTTATGTATAGATGTAAGTGCTGAGGAACCTCATTCACGTATATAAGAAAAAAGGGATGGAAAGAATTTTGTTACAGCAATACAACTCAATTCCTGGACCCCTTCAAAATTATATTCTGAAAATCACAAATTGATCTATCATCAAATTATTTTTAATGTTTAGTTGACAATTTGATTAAGTCCTCCTTCAACTTTGTTGAAAACTACCAGAACTGAAAAAGATCTAGTTGTTCAAGTCATTTTCCTTCTCAATTCCTTAGGAAATTAACTCAAAGGTTTTACCAGGACTTATCCATAACCATTTCATTTAGAAGCATATTATTTTGGAGCTAAAATTAAGAAAAAACACCATAAAATTGGAAACTGCACACATTTTGTGATAATTATATACACAGGTAGTCCTCGACTTAGGATGTATTAGAGTTACGACAAGCCACACTTAAGTTTTTTTTGGGCATATCTTATCATTAGTTAATATATACTATATACAATGTTGCAGTGTGTAATTTGCTGATGTTATTCTCAGATGTTCAAAGATTGGATTTATAAAGATACTGATAATAAATGACAATAATGAAAACTAAAAAAAAAAAAGATGAGTCATTGGAACAGAACCCCTTCGTTAAGTTGGAACTGCCTGTAGACTAGAATTTTTATTTCATGATTAAAAAAATATTATACTTTTTACAGAATTAGAACAGCGTATAAATATCTAAGGACAAATTAATCCTAATTAAGTAAAGCTAATTTTCTAAAGTTAAATGCACTATACCCTGAACTACATTTTGGGAATATTTACTCCTTACTTCTGCACGTAAGGACATATTCTGCTTTTAAGAGTACTGCTGATATTACTTCAAGCTAACACACACATTTTAACATCTCTGAAATTGGGACTCATCTTATAATAGATGGCGTATCATAGTCTACTCGGCAGTACTTTTTCCTAAGTGGTATATAAAATAATGGGGAATCTTATAATAATGGTGTCTTAGATGATAAATTGTGGAAATTAAAAGCAAAAAGATGAGAAAATATTGGGTCACTAGTAACTTCAGGGCTTATACAAGGTATTCCAAAACCCACTGCCGTTGAGTCTATTCCAACTCATAGTAATCCTATGGGGTTTCCAAGGCTGTAAATCTTTACAGGAACAGACTGCTGCATCTTTCTCCTGTGGAGTGGCTGGTGGGTTTGAACTGCTGACCTTTCGGTTAGCAACCAAGTGCTCTGGGCTCCTTACACAAGGTAGTGACTATTATATGTGTATTACTTAACGTCCACAATATCTTTCTGTTAATTTAAATCTACGTACATGGTAGGAACAAAAAGATCAGAGAAATGGTTGAGTGACAGTAAGCAGGAGACTTGGGCCCACATAAAAAGTTAATATGGATTTATAGAATCTAATAATGTACTGGCAAAGTTTAATAAAAAAGGTTCTCCTAGGAATTTAAAAAATGTACCAGAAAATGTAAAACCATAAACTTACCTTTAAAATATGTTCTTTTAACTTGAAGATGTAGTATGTCATAAGTAAACATGGTCCTTTACCATCTGCCTCCTTGAAATCATGTAGATGATGCTACTGAGACAGGGACTAAGACACACCCATCAGGCTCTTTATCATTATTGAGAATGGTGGGAATACTGAGTCTGCCTGACAGTCAATTCACCAATTCTCATCATACTTTTATACCAATCTTGAATATTTTTAGATGCAGCAAGGAACCTTACCGGGTGTTTGTTGCCTAAAAGTAAGGTACCTTTTCCCTTTATGTTATGTTCATGTTCTCCTTGCTTTCTTTTCATGGGATTCACCCTTGGAAAAAGTGGTTTTTTACACAATAGGAGACAAAAAAGTCAAGGTCATTGAACAAAACTGTCATCACTCCATCTTCCCAACTGACAACACATCTAAATTGTGAACACCTCCACGTGTGCCAGTATAACTCACTTCTAACACCACACTTCACCCATAGCAAAAATACATTAACTTCCACAATAATCCCTTGGTCAGGGCAGTGAGAGAGGTCCTTTTAGGTTCAAGGGGAAGAGACATAAGTCCACATCTTAAAGGGGTAGCAGCAAAGTTCTGCGAGAGTATGTGGCACCTGAAATACAGTTGTAGTCACTTTTGGAAAATAACTATGCCACAGGTTTTTTTGTAAAGTGGAAGAAGGGTGATTATGAAAGGGAAAAAAGAGATGGCATGACCCCTATGCTCTTAGGTAAATCAATTTTAACAAAGAATATATATGAGAATATACACTTTTTAAAAAGTATATAATCTTTTTAAAGCTATTCATGCCTAAGTATCCCTCGGAAAGTTGAATACTCCTCAGAGTATGCATGCCTTGAGTTGAAGACCCTACTATAGGTTATATTTATGGTCTAAATTTTTAAGATGCATACTGAATTGACTTGATGGCAATGTGTTTTTTGTTTTACACTTAACTATAAATTTTTCTAACAAAATTATTTCAGCATTCCTATGGAGGAAAAATGTGTATACTGAAACAATAAAAAAAAAAAAAATCACTTTCCATTTTAAAGAATGATCAATTTCTTTCACTCACTTTCATATCTAAACAAAAATAGCCTAATAAGACAAATAAACCAAAATATCCAAGTAATAAGAACTTTAAAACTAAATATACTATCAACTAAAGTAATATATACAGTAAAGCCCCTTTCTTGAGGACAAAACTGTTCTTAGAAAACTCAGAAAGAACTAGACTTGTGGAGGCAGATGTTGTAACTTAGTAAGAAATTTTCTACTTATGTTTTTTAGCATTACACTTATAAAGTACAATGAAATAAAATGTACATAAACCATTAAAGGTTAAAATTGGATTTTATCTTCCAAATATAATAGCATAAAATCCTTCCTGACTTCATCTTTGCCAATAACCCAAAGATTTCCAAGAGATGGTTTATTATTTCCAAGTGTCATTTCCTAAAGATAGTATTTATCTATGAAGTTCAATAAAAGTTATATACAAAAGTATTCGACTCTAATTTTCATCATATATCATAACCTCAAAACATCCAGAAAGACTAGATGTTAGAGAATAGGTTTACTTTAAAATACCAGGGAAAAATTTACTAGTTTTCCTCTTTCATATACAGATCTGTACACAAATGTATTATGTATTAATTATAATCAGAGTTTCTGCATTCATTCACCAAACATTCTTTTATACATCTATTTTCCAGGCACTATTCTAAGAGCTGAGAATATAGGGGTGGAGACAAAGTAATTGCTACCATTTATTGAGAGCTTACTATGGGTCAGGCCCTGGCCTGAGTTTCACACATATAAACCTATTGAATCTTCAAAACACAACACCTTTATAACATGGGTACTATTAACTTCCTCATTTTACAAATGAGAAAACTGAGGCATAGAGAAGAAAAGTAACTCATTCAACTAAAAACTGGTAGAATTTCTAAACTCCTTGCTCTCATGTAGCTTGTATTCACGTAAAACCCTTACCTTCTCAATTCCTTCTCTGTCTCTGCAAAAGACCTAATGAACAAATAGAATTGGGTATGGCTCAAATTGGTGGTGTGACTCTTCTCATTTTTAGATAATAATGTTTCTTTCTGGAAATGCTTACATAAAATTTAACGAGCTCCATTTTCATCATATTGTGATCTCAAAGCATCTAAAAAATCTGCACGTTATAAGACTTGATTTTAAACATTGGAGAAAAAAACTACTATTTTTGTCTCCATTACTGTAGGTGTAAAAAATACATATATAGCATCCCTTCCTTTGGAAAAATACTTCTCTACTCCAGGTAGGCCTAGTGGGGCTGAAAATTATGGGGCCTGTCTCATTACAGGGAGAGCTCATGATTACAAGCTAAGTAGGCACCACTTTCCTGGTCACAGTTATTGGTTCAAGAAGATAAAAACATGATCCAAGCATGGCCAATCTGTCTTCCCTGGGGTTGATGGAACTGGGAGCTGTTCTCTTAGCAATGCATATGAATTTGAGACTGACGGTAGTCATTTTCTTTGGCATCAGGAGAAAATTATTACATAATCCTGAGAGATACAGAGAACAGAAATTCAGACACAGAACACTCTGATCTAGCTATGCTTGAAATAGGACTATCCTTGTACTTTCCAGTTAAGTGTGTATAAGTACCTTTTTTTAAACTTATGCTAAAGTGAGTTTCTGTCACTTCCAATCAAATATCAATGCATTTTTACAAAAGCACTAGATAAGATATGCAAGTAGAACACTGGTTATAATGAATGTGAATATACTGGTATAGAATTCTTCGTTCTCTTCATCCTTCTCTCCCTGTAAACAAACAGAGCTGTGTACAGCTCAAAGGATGGTTTATCTATTTCATTTTAAAAAGCAGTTTCCAAAAGACAATTTACCTATGCTTATGAAGCATTATTTTAATAATTCTACTTTTTAGCATACAACAAAACCACAATATAGCTAGAAAGACGAAATGTTTTATTTCAAAATGTTGGAAAAACATTAAAAGACAAATGTCCAATATATAATCAAAAGTTTTAAATATACGGAATATAGATACATGTATATAGCTCACCACCAAAGAGCTAAATACTGCAAACTACCCTACCATATTTCTTCTCTAATTTAGACCAATAATACTTGGTATGACGAAAAATACCAAGACCCTACACTAAGTCATCATCTTAGGGTTCAATAACACAAGCAACAGTTTTGTCCAAGATGTTCCTGACACATGAAGCTTCCAGATGAATTTCTGAAATGTTAAGAAAAGTATCTTCCTTTTTTGCCTGTGAATGCTTGAGTATTGCTGTACTGTTGGCTTATATCCACTACAGATATTGGTTCTAGGCCAGCCCAAGGATCCTCAAGCATTGAAGGCTTGAAATAACTTTCCACCTCATTAGATATTCTTTTTTCTCTACCACGCCCTGATCCAAATGGTGTAGATGTCCTTGGAGAACCCTTTAGAAAAAAAATCAGTTAAAAAACATTTAGTAGCAATACTTTGTACTTTTTTCTTTAACAGCTAAGGGCTCAAGGGGATCACACTGGTAGTTAAAAGTCATGACTTGAACCCATTACGTTCAATTGCAAAGTACACACTTCCTTTAGTCCAGTGTTGTTTTAAAAAACATATTTAAACCAATTTGGTACACACATTTACTAATAATTCCATTCCCACTGTCATCTCAAATACTTATGGATTTCAAATGTAATAACTTTGCAGACCTATCAAGCAGTGATAAAATGAAATATCGTATTTCAATTTTTTTTTCCCCCTCAAAATCTCCATTTGTTTTTCTGGAGGAAAATTAAAAACTTTTTTTTTTTTTTACCATGTGGCTTCAAAATTTCTAGAACCTTTCTATCCATGAAATTTTCTTCTCCTATCTCCAGCCTTAGAAGGGTGGGTTGGTTAAGCATACAAAAAATTGGAAAACCACCAGTACACGCAAATTATAAATCACTCCTATAACAGAAACCCTGGCGGCATAGCGCTTAAGAGCTACAGCTGCTAACCAAAAGGTCGGCAGTTTGAATCTTCCAGGCGCTCCTTGGAAACTCTATGGGGCAGTTCTACTCGGTGCTATAGGGTCGCTATGAGTCGGAACCGACTCGATGGCAACGGGTTTTTTTTGGTACCTAGACACACCAAAAATACTCCCGCTGTCTCTGTACTCACTCTCACTGAAAGGAATAAAACACTTCTACTACCATCTATTTATTTTTTCTTGAGAAGACTTGGAAAGCTTAAGTTGGTACAGTCAGAAAAAAGACAAAAAGGCAAACAAAAAAAGGGGACAGTAGGAGGAAGATGGCACCAGCCTACATCATACATGAGTGCTAGCCTGGAGATTGATACACTTCCTCCCCTCCTCCTCGGAGCCAGGGGACTCAGAATAATTAACTGAGAACCGGCAAGGCACCCCGATAAAGGAGAATCAGGAAATCTGTGTATGATCGGCAGTGTCCTGGCTAAAAGCAAGAGATCTCTGGAGTCAGAATGTACGGGTTAAAAACCTGAATGCCACTTTAGTAGGGTAATCTTAAGAAAGTTACTTAACTTCTCTAAGCCTCAGTTTACTCGTCTGCAAAATAGGGCTAATAACAGTACGTCACATCATAGAAGATTTAAAAAGTAATTCACGTAAAGCGATCATTACTACCGTGCCTGCCATACAGTAAGAGCTCAGTCGACGCTGGCTATTATTATTACCTGGGGGTGGCTCTGCTGCTGCCCTGGGGAGTAGCCGAACTGCTGCTGGGACCCAGCGGGGGACTTGGAGTAGGAGCCAGGGTAGCCACCAGGGGACGGGGACCCGAACCGGCCCCCCGGGAAGCTGCTGCCGTGTCGTGGAGAGTGGCTGCTCCCGTAGGGCCTAGATCGGGGCCCGTACGGCGGCGTGTGGTGCGGGCTCCCGTAACCGTCCCGAGGGGACGGCGGCCGTGGTCCGCTCCCGCCCGGGGTGCCCCGGAAGCTGCTCCCGCTACCCCAACCTCCTACACCGGAGCCAGGGTAAGGAGGGGTCGGGGGTCGAAAATTCTGTCGGTGCATAACACAGGCCGAACTCCTCCCTGCCGCGTTCTCCTGCCGGAACTGTCCAGACGAAGCCTCTTCAGAGAACTGGTCGTCCTTTACTAAAACAGTCCTCTGACCACCAGCGCCTTACAGCACATTGGTTCCGGTATCACAAATGTTCCGGAAGGGACGGAGGAATAAGCGGGTTATTAAATTGGGTGGCGATTGGGCGAATTTAAGTGAAGGAGAAGGAAGAAAAGGGATAAAGGAAGGACTGAACACTCGATGCAAGTAATCTTTGCAGTCTGGCGGTCAACAGTCAGGACAAATTGACTACCACCTTCCCAGCGGCTGAGGCTGGCGGGAGAGAGCTGGCCCTGCCCAGGCCCTGCTCCGGCTCCGCCCCGCCCTCGCCCTCGCCCTCGCCCAGTCTCCGCCCGCTGGGGGCGGGGTCTAGGTGTCGCTGGCGCCCCCAGTGGCTGCGGTTCGCGCGCGTTGTGTTCAGCGCTCACGCAGGGACTGAGGATCTGAGAGGCTTGCGATGTTGGCGACGGTGGCGAGGGTCGCGGCTCTGCGGAGAAGCGGCCTCCTTTCCCGCCGGGGCGGCGGGAGGGGGCTGTGGACCGGACGCCCGCAGTCAGGTACCCTCCGAGACACGGTCCGGGCGGCGAACGGGATCCCGGCTTCATCCACCCCCCTCAGGCGGCGCGCTGCGGAGAGCGCCCGCACTTTGGAGAAACATCTCCTGCCCCCTGGACCCGCCCTTTGCTCTTCTCGCCTTCCTGCGCCCTAGCTGCTTGGCCCCCCGGCCGTCTTTGTCCAGCTCCCCGGCCGACCCGGGCTCGCTCTGCCCGGCGCCCGCGACCCAGACCGGGGCTGGAGTCGAGCACTTGCCACTGCGAGGCCGTCCCCCTGCGCGGTCACAGTGGCGCACGCCTCGCCACTCTCCCTTTCCTCCTACACTCTCTTCCCAAGTTAACTTTAATAATGTACCTTCAGCCATGTTTCAGAAATGATTTCAGGCTGCTGCTTTAAATAACTTGGTGGAGAGACTGCTAACAAATGTCGGACTTTACCCTCTTCCTTTCAGTTCTGGTTAAATGGGAGCGAGAAGTGATGGGGGAGTTAGGAAGCAGATCATTGATTTTCAAAAAGAGCAAAATTCAGCCAAATTTTAAAATCTTGACTGTTTCACGAACTTCTAATTTTAAAGAAAAATGTGATAACGCAAGAATGACACCTTGATAAAATAAAAGTAGGACAGATACCAGATACTTGTCCCATAGTTTTATTTAGGGGGTGAAATTTAGATTGACTACAGTTGTATAGAATTTTCTTTGCTCTCCCAAAATTTGAGAATGGTAATTCACTATGAATCTGGAAATCCTGTAGGATGCAGAATCTTAAAGAACGTACAAAAAAAAGTTGGCTTCTAGTAGATTCCGACTGTGATCTTTACGGAAGCAGATCTGAAAGCAGATGGGCAGGCCTTTCTTCTGTGGTACCGCTGGGTAGGTTCCAACCGTCAGCCTTTAGGTTAATAGTCATTCGCAAACTGCTTGTGCCACCCAGGGACCTTTAAAGAACTTAGGCCTCTTGAGATCATAGCCCAGTGGGTAGCCTAGACCTGTGCTTTTTAGCTGCCATTTCTGACTCTGTCTCTGACATATTCTTTGACATGCCTAGTTGAAGAATGTTATATCTTCTCAGCTTCTGTCCGCCTTCACGAGTGAGGACATAAACACAATTTCGTTGTTGACTGGAGGGAGAAGAGTCTGGTCCACCAAATTTATTTTTTCCTTTGGACACAGTTGTAGAGTCAATCAAGGCAGGATAATGCCATCAAGGCATAGTAGTACAATAAAGGGAAGATCCCAGACAGGTTGATATTCTTCTGTCCTGACCAAAACTTCACATTTCTGGACATTATCATCAGTGCCTAGATTAATGCTTGGTCATTGGGCATTCAAGTATTTATTGAATGAATGAATGGATCACATACATCATACTGGTCAGTGATGCTCGTTACCTTTTGTATCATAACCGCATCTACTTTATTTATTGTGGAGAGGCAGAAGAGGGAGAGTAGTGGACACCAAAATTACCTTTATTAATCTTTTTAAAAAATAAAATGCAAATTGAGTCTCTCTTTTTAAATTGGCAGAGAATATAGAATTGGTTCTCAGCCTGCTAAGTACTGTAAATGACTTTTTTTTGGCGTACACTTTCAGCATGCTCTTCCCTGCAGTGTCTTACTTGCTGTCTTTTATACGTATGAACTTGAGTTAGAAATGGGGTGGGGGGAGAAGTACAGTGGAAAATTGTTGACTGGTAGGTTAAACGTGACAGTGTACCTCTCATTACGTTTTCAGGCATATATGAGGACTGAGGAAGAGTGAATTCTTAGTAGTTACCTGAAAACCTCAGATCCCATTTGGGCCTCTTCTGGGCCCCATTCGTGAGAATAGGCCACTTGGCTCTTTATGATTGGGAAATCCGCCAAGAGAAGTTAAGTGACTTGGTTAAGTTCACATAGCAAGCAGAATTGGAACCAGAACTCAGGCTTTTTCCAAGTAAAGAATTATGAATGACAGTCAGTCTGCCTTTTGAAAAATGCAGTAGCTAAATAAACATGCAAATTTTTGAAAATGGTTCCGTATAGCTAATAATTTTAGATTTTGAGGTTAGTAGATATAAATCTGAATACTGAGTTTTTATAAATGTGGCAAGGGTCTTCACAGGCTTGAGCCTGGGAAATGCAGTCTGACTGTCTGAACTGGAGGGCCTGAGGTTCCTAGGCATCTATTTGCATCGAATCTATTTATCTGATGGTGGGTGCAGTGGAAAAGATGAGGGGAAGAGGAAGTAATTTTGTGTTGGGATAACTGGAGGTAGAAAAGTGAAGAACTGGGATGATGGATGGGAGAGTATGGTGGCTGCCCATGAGCTTAGTCTGAGCCCTCTGGAGAGAAAGCAGCACCTCTCATCTTTGTGAGTAACATAGGTATGGTGCTTGCAAAAAGAGAATCAGCACTCGTTAGGGAAGACCAGCACCAGAAAACAGAATCCTGGAAAGGGCAGCTACAAGTGGCATTGTAGGCAGAGGATATCAACAGAACATTAAAGAACTTCCTAAGCATTCTTGAGCTACGTGGGGAACTTCAGAAATATTTGGGTTAATTTTGTGTGATAGTGTCTCTTAGAAGTTCTGCCTTAATGCAGGTAAGGATATCAAGCCAAAGAAATTTAAATATGAATATAAACGGGACCTTGTTTATTCCTGTGAGACTGAGGACCTTATTTAGGTTACCTAACTTTTTTTGATGTTTCTTTTTTCAGTGGCGTTTAAAGTTGTGTGTAGAGCCTTATCTTCCAAAAAAAAAAACACCTAACTTGAAAGCCTAAAATATAAGAGCAGAAAGGCTGTGTTTGAAACAGGGATTGGGGCCCCAGAGTCCTGCTCACTCTGTACCCTATTTATCTGCCCTGTCCTACCCCCAAAGAGACTTCTGGGATACCTCTGAGGAATGTCTCAGGCTTTGCATAAAATGGTTTGAAAACCACTACTTTAGGTAGGTGTCTGGGATTAACAAGTGCTACGAATAGAAATACTTTAGTTATTTTTACTATGTATTGTCAGGAAGTGAGTATTTTCATTTTTCTTCATGGTTATGGCTTTGTAAGCAAAGAAAATTAGAACCTAGGTTAAAGGACAAGGGGGCAGTGGTGGTTCAGTGGTAGAATTCTTGCCCTCCATGTGGGAGACCGGTTCAATTCTGGGCTGATAACACCTCATGCGTAGCCACCACCCATCTGTCAGTGGAAACGTGTGTTATGATGCTGAAGAGATTTCAGAGGAGCTTTCAACTAAGATGGACTAGTGGGGAGCGTTTTGTTCAGTTGTGCACGGGGTGGACATGACTGGGTCAACTGGAGGGCAGCTAACAACAGCAGGTTAAAGGACAAGCCTTAGAAGTTAAAATGATGACTGAATAGGTAGTTAGAGAATGATTTACCTCCCAGGAGGTATGTGTTGGTCTTTTAAAGGGTGATAAAACCCAGAGTTTATCTTATTTTCCCCTTGTTTAGACTCATAGTGACCCCATATGACAGAATAAGAATGCCCTATAGCATATTCTAGGCTGTAATCTTATGGGAGCAGATGGCCAGGTGTTTCTCCCCTAGAGCGCTGGGTGGGTTTGAACCACAGTCGAGTGCTTAACCATTGCTCCACCAGGGATTTGTCTCCCTGCCCCCCCCCCCCCGCCAATTATTTGTATTCTAAAGGGTAAGAACCCAGGGACGTACCTCTTCTTTTCCCATGGAGAATTTGTTTACATTAGGAAGATTAGATTTCTCTTCTCACTGTATGAGAAGCGGTAGCTGGGCTGTTAATCGCCAGTCGAGTTGATTTCTGACTCATGGCGACTCCATGTGTTAGAGAGTAGAACTGCTTCATAGAGTTTTCTTGGCTGTAATCTTTACAGAAGCAAATTGCCAGGCTTTTCTTCGTCTACTTTTCCCATGGAGAATTTGTTTACATTAGGGAGATCAGGTTTCCCTACTCTCAGTAGGGGAAGTGGCAGCTAGACAGCTACCCTCTACTCTCAGATTCACAATTTTGGGGTTCCTTTCCTGTGTTGCAACCCCTGTGTGTATAGGCTTAACCACTGGCTCTCGTTGGGTCATCTGTGGGGTATTAAAAAAACCATTGCCTTAGAGTCAGTTCTGACTCATAGTGACCCTATAGGACAGAGTGGAACTGCCCCATAGGGTTTCCAGGGGGTGGCTGGTGGATTCGAACTGCTCACCTTTTGGTTAGCAGCCATAGCTTTTAACCACTATGCCACCAGGGGTATTAGGTTTGGGAAACTGGTTCATTTATAAATGTAAGTGACAGTAATTCTGATCTCTGCTTCAGAAACCTCATGTTTACTTTCAGGCTAAAAATGGATAAGTAGAGATATTAAAAACTTAGTAAATATTTTTGATGAGAAACACTTTTGAGGACAGGAGAATGTACTTAATAATTTATATGTATAGAAATGTTTGTATGTATACTTAGAACATAAGCTTTAAGATAATATTACCTAAAACTTTTCAGGTTATTTCAGTTTTCCTTATAGAGGTATCTATAGTTAGCTACTTCAAGACTGCCAGTAGTGGAAAAGTAAATGCATCTCTAGGATGTGATTAATTCACTCATTGATAGGGTTATGCCTGTATTTAATACAGTGGACCATTTAAAGACAACTGTTGGAACCAACTCAATGGCAACAGGTTTGGGTTTTTTTTTGTTTGTAATTTTACCAGTGTTCTCAATGAAAAAGCAAATATTAGAAGCAGCTTGTTTTCAAAACAGTCCTGAGAGCTAATTTCACTGCTTCATTAAAGTCTGATCTTTTCAATTCCAATCATGTATCCATTGTCCATGGTTGTTGAGTACAGGTGAAATATTTTATGCTTATTTATTTCTTTGTAGACTAATATTCTTCACCTAGATGTAATATGGGTAATTATGCATTAACTCACACTTTTAAACATTTTCATTAAAAATAACTAAATTTGCTGACAGAATACTTTGATATGAAGAAAAATGCAAGAGAGTATGAATATTGTTTTCCAGATACAAAGACTAAAA